GCCGCCCCCCCCCCCATAGGGTTTTTTCGCGATAGCTCCGAACACGCTGGCGATAGAGAGCTGAAACTTGGCATACCTGACCTTTGATCCAAGCCGGATCTTTTGACACCAACCGCATTTTTGGGTCAGGTCAGGTCACTGACCTATGACGTCATAAGTGAACCTCTGCACGGTCTTCAGATGTCGCAACTTCGCAACGCCCTCACTGCCAGAGGAGATGTCACAGGGAAATGAAACTTGCAGGATCTAGTATCCATTATGAGTCCCACAACTTGTATATCTCGGATTTTTCCTAAAGGTCATATGAGGTCAGGTCATTTTCGTGACCTCACCATTATAAGTCAATGGGGAAAAATTCAAACTGCTATTCTGGCGCTGGGAACGATCTCCAACTATCTCAAGCACACAGAATCGTGATTTGATGCACTCCTTGCAAGGTTAGATGCGTCACTTTTGCAATGTTGACCTTGCGTGACGTCATTTATGACGTCATCAAGGTCAAATTAGTTTTTCGTCAATAACTCTTGATCAAATTGAGCTAGCGAGTCGGGAAAGGCACCAATGGACTCAGGAAGGCCTGCCGAATCGAATGATATGCGACATGACCTCTTTCGACCAACTTCGTGACCTGGGGGTGCTGACCTGACCTTGACCTGAGGTCAACACCCCAAGTTGACCTGACCCGGACAAAAAGTATATCATTCGACGCGCCTGAGCGAGGCGAACACGATGCTGCCAAAATCGGCGCTCTGCGGCCGTTTTTTGCGAAGTTATTCACCAAAAACTGAACCGTACCCTGGGGCACTTGACCTGACCTCAGAGGTCACCGGTTGACCTAGGACCTTAAAATCGGGTACCAATCTCTGCGTCTCGTAACGGCGCACACGCTCGTTTTTTCCGCAACGCGCTAGCTCCACCAGGGGCGAAACGGCGAGGGGGGGGGTCGTACCCGCCCCCCCCCCTCGGCCGGCGCGTATGTAGAAAACCAATAGGTCCGGCGAGGGTTAAGTCAAGGTGTGCGTTGGGGGGGGGGGGGGGGTGTACGGAAGCTGTTATTTTGGCGCCAGAAATGATTGAAGGTTATCTTCGACACATGTAGTCGTAACTTCATACAGTTCTTGCAAAATCTAAAGCTCAACTTTGACCTTGTCGATCTTGCGTAACGGCATGTATGACACCAATCAGGTCAGATAAATTATTTGCCAGTAACTCCCGTTTGCATTGCCCTAGTGAAGTTTCAAAACCACCGACAGATGACGGACGAAAGACTTGCCAAATTGAACTATATACGGCATGACTTCCTTCCAATATTTTAGTGACATGGGTGGCTTAGCCATGACTTTAAGCTAAGGTCAGTTGCATAAGTTTACCTCATCGAAACAAGCACAATATCATGTCACGCTCCGGAGCACGCGATCGGGATGGTGCAAGAACTGCATCTTTGCGATCTCTTTTGGCGAGGTCTTCCACCAATTCTCGAACCCATTTCTCAGGGAATCTGGCCTGACCTGAGAGGTCACTGATTGACCGCAGAATTTCCCTAACATACTCGTTGCATCTTGTAAAGGCGTATATGCTCGTTTTCTGTGGAGTTCTAGCATATAGAGGAGAAACGGCGAGGGGTGTTCCACCATGCATCTCCCCCTTCGGTATGTAGAAAGCCTTTAGAGCCGGACAAGGGTAATGCTAGTTTCCCCGTTACCCCGCGTCCCGAATTGTCACGCAAGCCAGCCTCGCAGCTTTGCATTCGTGGTTTCGGTACTAATAAGGCATAACGTAATCGCTGAACATACAGCAGGCTACAAGCACAAAGCACACAATGATCCATGTCAGTCATGTTATAGAGAATCTGCAAACACATTACATGTCATAATGAGAACGTACAAACACATAAGCGGTCTTTATGAAGTACATATTTAGCCGTCTATTCAGGTCTAGGTTGGACATTCCACAAGACTTATGTGGACTGAGGGTCCACAACATTCAAGTGAGGGTGTTGGCGAATGGCGCACACATTCAGAGAAGATCGAAGGCAAATGATTGTGTTTGGGTCTAAGCGCTTGAATGAGTGCGCTAATAGGGGAGAATGGGGCAAAGTGGCCACCCTAACGCTTCTCACGATGCCAACGCTTGATTTTTAAACTTGGAAAGATTCTTTCTATACCAATGTGATCGCTATTAAGTTGCCTTTTATTTCAACTGCGTTTTATTTCCAAAGGCGTTCACATATGAAAAATATTGACAAAACTTTAAACCTATGCATATTGGCCACTTTGCCCCATACCCTGGGGCAAAGCGGCCACTGGTGTCTTCTCAAGTCCCCATATGAGAAACAAAATTATTGCCTCATGTACGACTAGGGTATTTGATGGTGACAAGGTTTAAGCGAGGATGGATGTTTACTTTATCATCATCCACCTGTAGGTAAACAAAGAAAGGATTTTCATGAAAAACATTTAATTGCATTATTTGGTAACTCATGCAACTGAAAAGCGGCCAAGATGAATGCCTGACGACACATTCGAATATAAATAATGTTTTTATCCAGATGGAAACAACTTATGGCCAATTGGGGGGTGGCCACTTTGCCCCGGCCACTTTGCCCCGCGCACACCGTCCGAGACAACAATATTCCAGCTTAGCTATTAGTGGGGTAAAAAACATTAAAATTGGTAGAATACATGTACGATAACCATGCAATGCATGGATCAGAACGCTTATATAAATTCCAAACGGTTATGGAATAACATAACATTTAAAAGTTGTAAACATAGTTGGTAACCTGGCAAGAAATGCTTTTCCGTGTTTCACAGAACAATGGTGATGGGCCTGAAACCCCGGTCTGGCTCATTCGAACGACCGTGAAGAGAAGTATAATTGGAAACCATAAATTGGAACTGACGCCAGCTATGAAGGGCTAAAACGATGGGTGGCCGCTTTGCCCCGGGTGGCCGCTTTGCCCCACTCTCCCCTACTTGTGCTGTTCAACTGTCGTATGCAATCATCAAATATACTGTTTGTGCTTCTATTTGTAGAGATGAGCATGTAACTGACTGAATTTGACAACATAGAGAAGGCAGCTTCCAGCAGCCATTATAAACATTGGCATGTAAACTATGCAGTATGCACTGCAGTACAGTCACATTGATCACTGAAGACAGCACGTAGACGCGTTTATCTCCAGTAGGGTGTGGACTGTGGATGGCCCGCTGGTATGGTGTAGCTCTGTGACCCGTCTGGCTGCGCCGCGTCTGGCACCGTCACCACACCTGGTGGCGCGGCGGGCAGAGCTGCCAACAGACCCGACACACTGCCGGCTGCCAGTCCTGTGTCGGGCAGACATTACCCGCAGTGTCCAGCCGCCAGTTCCGCCACAATTAACTACTGAGATGACAATGTGCCACTGTTATAAAAGAATGGTGCACCTGTTCAAATATTAACTTTTATGACAAATCTTGTTACAGTAAACCTTATCAAAGCCAAAGCACTGAATAAATGCCTCACGGGCTCAAGCTGGTTTCACGCGTGCCAGTCGCGCGTTTCTGGTCTGGCGCGTTTGGCTTGTGCTTTTCGTTCTCGCTGCGCTCATCAGGGCGCCATTCAGTCGGGAGGCCGCTGTGCTGTGCGGACGGTTTGATCCCCGCGGCCGAGGTGGCGGCGCCCTTCCCCTCCCCCTCCCCCGGCCGCCCCGCCCGGCCCCGATCTCGGTCAGTCCCGCCCGGCGCGGCCGGCACGCGGCCCCAGCCCGGGCACGGGCACTGGGTCGCGCGCGTCAGGAATGTCGACTGCGGGCCGGCGCGCTCCCGCGCAAACCGCGCCGCCGCCGCCGGCAATTAGCGCGGCTCGGTGCGGCGACAATGACGTCTGATGTGCAAACAAACAGTGCACGGGCGGTAATGGGAGCCGGCGGCCGGTATTTGTTTTACAGGATGAGCCGGTGTCGCCCTGGGACGCCGAGGGGCGACATTGGCCGCGGGAGACTCTCAGAGACGCAGAGATTGGCCGCGGGAGACGGAACATGTCTCAGAGACGCAGAGATTGGCCGCGGGAGACGGAGCATGTCACAGAAACACAGGCCTGGCTGCGGGAGACGTCAGACGAGACAGCGGTTAAGGAGACAGGAGACATTTTCCTTGAGGAGACGGAAGAAGAACAGCAATCGGCCGACACAATGCCGACAGGCAGTCGGGTGCCAGTCAGCTCACCAGTGGGAAACTCAACTTCTGTGTGATCTGTGCTCTGTCTGGTCTGTTATTCTGTGGTCTGGTTTATGTCCGATCTGTGTCCGGTCTGTGTACGGTCTGTGGCCGGTCTGTGTACGGTCTGTGTCCGGTCTGTGTACGGTCTGTGGCCGGTCTGCAGTCAGTGGTCTGTCCCCGGTCGGTCGCTCTGTCTGTGTCCGGTGTGTGTCCGGTCTGTGTCGGGCATGTGGTGTGTTTCTGTGTCCGGTCTGTGTCGGGAATGTGGTGTGTTTCTGTGTCCGGTCTGTGTCGGGTATGTGGTGTGTTTCTGTGTCCGGTCTGTGTCGGGTATGTGGTGTGTTTCTGTGTCCGGTCTGTGTCGGGTATGTGGTGTGTTTCTGTGTCCGGTCTGTGTCGGGTATGTGGTGTGTTTCTGTGTCCGGTCTGTGTCGGGTATGTGGTGTGTTTCTGTGCCCGGTCTGTGGTGTGTTCTATGGTCTGTGCCGTGTCGGCCGCTCAGTCTCTGTGCCCGGTCTGTGTCCGGTCGGCCGCTCGGTCTCTGTGCCCGGTCTGTGTCCGGTCGGCCGCTCGGTCTCTGTGCCCGGTCGGTGTCCGGTCGGCCACTCGGTCTCTGTGCCCGGTCGGCCGCTCTGTCCCTGTGTCCGGTCGGCCGCTCTGTCCCTGTGTCCGGTCTGTGGTCGGTGCTCTATGGTCTGTGCCGTGTCGGCCGCTCGGTCTCTGTGCCCGGTCGGCCGCTATGTCCCTGTGCCGTGTCGGCCACTCGGTCTCTGTGCCCGCTCGGTGCGGCGCGCCACTCACCCCTGTCGGCCGGCCAGTCGGCCTGAGGTCGTCGCTTCTCCTCGTGCACCGGCCCCGTGTCGGCGCCGCTGTCCTGGCGGCTGCGCTTCCGGCCGCTGCGGCCCGGCCTGCCCTGCTGGTTGCCCATGCCGGCCGGCTGCCGGCGCGCGCCCCGTCCGCCCCGCTGGCGGCTGGCACAGCTCACACGCTCTCACTGCAGACGGCCGGTGGCCGGGCACACCTCACTGGCCCTGCAGGCCGGCACCGCTGACCCGCCGCGGAGCCCGAGCCCGCGCCGCCCCCTCGCGGCAGCCGCCGGCGACTGGCGCGCCGCAGGAGCGCTGCCAACCGGCGCGGCGCGGCGGCCGAAATATTTGGCTCCGCTGACGATATGTGAAGTTCCCTCCGTAGGCTATTTAAAGTGGTCCCGACCCCGGCGCGGTCGGCGCCGCAGCAGGGGACACATTGCCCTGCGCTCGCCGACGGAGCTGGAATGACGGTCCGGTGCCCTCGATAGCCGCGGGGTCGCATCGGACGGATAGTGATATAAGCCCGGTACCCTGTGTGTAGCCGGGGTCGGGCGGACCGGTGATATGGGACCGGTGCCCTCTGTGTGTTTGTGGGGGGGGGGGAGATACAGGCCCGGTGCCCTCTGGGGGGGGGGGGGGGGAGGCTGGTGATATACCTGTAGCACCGTGTCGTCTGTGGTGGGGTCGGACGGAAGGATTCTATGCATGCGCTCGGCATTCGGAAAATGTTATCCTTTAGAGATTGTCGGTCGGAAAAATAGGTATTGATGACAACTAATGTTCGGTATGCCTCGTTTAGGGAAGAATCATTCTCGGATTAATATCCTTCACATGAGAGCTCGGCATCACGGATGTCATCCCTGGACGGTTACAGTAATTTGACTTACTTTTGATTTTCGCTCTTGCAAACACCTTTAGTTATTCATAATATTGCATCACACGCAATATGTCATCACACCTTACAATTTATCTTTTTAAAAAATCAAAAATAAAAGCCATTCGATCACTACTATCAAAATACCCACCCACCTCTATAGTTCGTTTTTCTTAAGTTTGCCCCTCACTGTAAACGTCTTTTTGAACACAGCACGAGAATTGCTAGCTGAATTACTTAGAAAACTGGTTGGCGCACATTGATTTGACCAGATTTGACAGACGATCAATTTGATCAAATTTATTTACTATTTCACAGACTCGTAGCTCGTATTTGCCAATACCTACAGCCCCACAGGGATAGACGACTTCTCAGGAATTATGTGTGAACTAATAAATAAATTGCACGGCGCTTAACATAACGTTAAATCGTCGGTGTTCAAAGCTTAATTTTGAAAATATTATTCATATCTACAATACAATGTGCGCCAACCAGTTTTCTCAGTAATTCAGCTAGCAATTCTCGTGCTGTGTTCAAAAAGACGTTTACAGTGAGGGGCAAACTTAAGAAAAACGAACTATAACACCAAAAACATCCAGCCGCCCCAGGTCCGCTGATTCTCCCCAGGGAAGAATAATTGTCGGGGATAATTTTTTTTGTCGCGATACCGGACGTGATCCCCCGATAATTCTCGCTGATTCGGGATAACTAACTCCCTGATTATCCGGATGCCGAACGCACGCTATGTAGTGCCTACTGCCTGTGAACACTATTCTGAAGGTGGCCTGTGGGCTGCCGCTGATTGAATGAAGGCGAGATTGGTTAGAATTCTGCGCTTGAAAATGAATGCTTGATGAATGAATCGTGTTCATTTTTAGGCCCGACATCCTTCATTGGGCACTTCGACCTTCCGCTATGAAATACATTGGATAAGTTGCTAGCATTTATTAAATTCGTTCTTTCTTTTATCTGCCAGCCTTTTTTATTTGTACAGTATATCTAAAAAGTATGTCCCCTGGTTTGGCTCTCCCACAGGAGGCGAATCGGTAACTTGGCTGAATCCCAGTTGCGGCATCCGGCCGCCAGGGTCGCTGCCGCGCGAGCGGCCTTGACCGCTCGCATGTCATTGGCAGTTCGGTCCCTCCCCATCTATACCGAGGTGGGGAGGGGAGAAGAGGGGAAGAGAGGGGAGGGAGCGGCATCCGCTCGGCACTTGGCGATACCTGGCTGACCCCGCGCTCCCTCGCTGACCTTTGTCCTGCCCTCAGGCGAAGACCGACTTCCTGGCCTGTAGCGGCCCAGCGGAAAACCGAGCTCGCGGGGCGCGACTCCATTGGCCCAATCTTATAAATGGAATGCTGTCGTATTCACGGCATTAGATAATATTAATAGTGATACCAGCAGTGGATGTGGTAAAATACAGTCCAAAATAAACGAAAGCACTCGATTCGTGCATAATGCGCCCTCCCATTCAAATAAGCCCGCCCACTTCGATAGATGGTGTAGTTTCTTAGGGCGTAAAAGATGCAAAACACTACCGATTTTTTTTTTAGCTCGGCCACTGGGACCGACAATATACAATTGACTGAAATGCATGAAAACCATTTTGCATTTAGGTAATAGCCGTTTTCTGCACCCAAACTTTAGCCAGTGACGCCCTGTCCATTCTAAAGCGTTTATAAGATTGGTCCCAGCACCCGATTTTATATGAGGAAGTCGTTTAAAAACATCTTATTTCAAACAAATTTATTATTATGGCCACTTTTACAGGACGTCTATAGAGCTTTGACTTTTACATTTTTTCCTCGTTCAGGAGAAACGTTTTAACCCTCACCAGAAACCAGAAAACCTTCAGGTTTTCTGAATACCGAGGGACGTTGGGGGTTGGAAGTGAGGAAACAACCCCCTTCGCCGATTCGCCCCTAATTGAGCTAGAGCCTCACGAAAGAAACGATCGTGTGCGTCGTTACGAAATGCAGCGATTGGTCTCCGATTTAAGGACCAGGGTCAGCCGATGACTTCGGAGGTCAGGTCAAGTGGCCCAAGGCACAGGTTCGGTTTTTGGTAAATAACTTCGCTAAAAATGATCGCAGATCCGCGATTTTAGCAGCATCGTGTTTGTCTAGCTCAGGCGTGTCGAATGGTATACTTTTTCTTCGGGTGAGATCAACTTAACCCTCGCCCGTATGAGGGGGGGGGGGTCGAACGGACCCCCTCCCTCGGTTTTTCGCGAATAACTCGCGTAAAAAGCGGCCGATCGCGACGAAACTTTCGTTACCCTCGCGTTAATCAATTTTACACCCACCCTGAAATTGTCATGACCCTGACCTTAACGACCTTTGACCTGCGACCTACTTTTCGAGACCATGTTTGGCCGGAATCGCGATTCGGCGTATGTCGGCTCGCATTATCGGCGCGTTTGCAGTCTTTTCGTGGTTTTAAGCGTTCAAACATGGGATATGATGTTGCTTCCATGCATTAGGGTGGGTGTCAAGGTCACCGGAAAGTCAGGTCAGGTCATTGACCTTTGATGACCTCGCTTCACTTTTTCGAGTTTTACATGTTTCTAGGCCAGTTTTAGGAGCTGAATTCGAATTTAGCAGCCATATGAACATTTACGAAGTAGTTTTGGTGCCCTCGTAACATGTTGCGAAGCTGTCAGAGGCGGTTGCCACCTACTACGAATACCCTTACTGGTTGACCTGACCTGACCTGACCCGACCTGGCCTAAATGCATGAAGACATCATCTGTGATCAAAACTAACATGATATTCGTGATCAGCACCCCAAAAACCCCATAGCAGCCACGCTTTACGACTTTCTAACAGGCCCGATTTTCCCGACTTTTGGGTCATTGACCTGACCTGGAAAGTCAACCGATGACCTAGGACCTTAAAATTGGGTATCATCGACTTCCTCTCGTCACGGCCAACACGCTCGTTTTTTCCGCGAAGCTCTAGCTCGATCAGGGGCGAAACGGCAAGGGAGGGTCCAACGGACCCCCCCCCCCCCCTTATACGTTTTGCGGCTGGAAAAACACCAATATGGGCGAGAGTTAAGGTGTTAACCTCGGGTCAAGGTCAGGTCACAGCCCGTCAGGTCACGAAGCTGGTCAAAGGAGGTCATATTGCATATCAATCGATTCGGCAGGTCTTTTCATGTCCTAGTGGCTTTATCGACTCGGTAGCTTTAGTTGATCGGGTTGACGAAAAACTGATACCCTTGGTTACGTGATAAATGACGTCACGCAAGATCAACAAAGCAAAATTAAAGCATCAGACCTTGCAAGGAGCGCATGAAATCACGATTCCGTGTGCTTGAGAATTTGAGATAGTTGTATATCAGTTCCGGACCAAACTAGCAATTTCCATATTCCCCTGACATTTAATGGTGAGAGACTGACCTGATCTCAGGTGACCCTTCAGAAAATCCGAGATATACATTTATACAAGTTGTGAGACTCTCGATCATACTATAAGATCCTGTAAGTTTCATCTCCCTATGAAAGCTCTGCACTGAGGGTGTAGCGAAGTTGAACATTTTAGGAGTGTGCACACAGTCCTAAAATGTTGAGGACAGTTTAGGACAGTTTCACACAGTTCATTTTAGGACTGCTCATTTATGACATCATAGATCAGTGACCTGACTTGACTTAAAAATGCGGTTGGCGTAAAAAAATCTGACTTATCAAATCCCGACTAAAAAAATCGACTTATAATCCGGTTAATCAAATCCCGACCATGTTTTTACCTGGCCATTAATGTTCTAGCCTTACAGGTGATTGTTTGAACGCGGAAGATGCTGAATCTTGGTTAACCCCATACTTATCGTATGATAAAGAACGTCAGTGTTAGAAAGTTAATTAACAATTTTATTTAGGATAGTTTAATTCAAGTGGGTATAATCCGACTTGACAATTTACTAGGAGGGTGTTGCAGCGCTATTAGTTCGGCATTTAATTATAAATCATTGCTAATTTCGATCCGGATATCGTTATTCAATGCTGGCCTTTGCGTCCTCAGAAAGTTGTTTATAGTCATGAAGGCTTGCATTGACCCATACTTTCCATTTTTCAGCACTATTATTCGCCGTAGTTGACCAGGTGTTTTCTTCAGCTCTCCCCTGAATCCTTTGGCTTAGACCTGGCGTATCACCCGTGCATCGCAAGACGCACCTACCACACACAAGGTCATGATCCCCACGAACCCACATCAGCGTCCGTTCGCTTGGTGTGTGACCCCTTGACCTTTGGCCGCGACAACTGCCAGCTTGCTGGAGCACCCCTCCCTACACGCGCTGCCCCGCCCGCTCCCCTCCCTCCCCCCCCCCCCCGGGGTCGTGTCACGAAGGTTCGGGCTTACGCTACTACCGGCCGCTGCGCAGCTGTCACCTAGCGCCTG